CCATCAAGTGAGTTAAAGTTTTGGTTGAAATTTCTAAAGCAGCTACTAGAAATTAAGAAATTAAAAATTCCTAGATTGATTCTTATACCTGAAGCTGTCATTATTGATCTTCATGGATTCTGCGATGCATCCAAAACAGCTTTCGGTGCGGTGATTTATATCATCTCAAAGGCCAGAGATGGAGCTGTGAAAACTAGTTTACTGTGCAGCAAATGAAGAGTTTGCCCAATTAAAACTCTAACCATCCCACGACTGGAACTGTCTGCTGCGATGTTCTTGGTCCGACTTGTGGCAAAGGTGCTTGTAATTCTTAAAATTCAATTCAACCACACTTATCTATGGAGTGATTCAACAATTACATTAGCCTAGATCAAGACATTTCTTGAAAGATTCAAAACCTTTGTGTCTATTCGGGTTAAGCTGATAAATTTTTCGTGCCCAACTTTTGACTGGAGATATGTTCCAACAATTGATAATCCTGCAGACATAATTTCCAGAGGTACCTCAGCTACAGAACTGTAGAGTAATTCCTTATGGTGGAGTGGCCCTCTTTGGGTGACTTTTGACCTTCCACTGCCAGGTGCTTATGCAACACCAGTAGATGAGGACTTTGAAAAAGAACTAAAACTTTCTAGCTTGCCAGTTTTATTAATGAATTCAAATTGTGACTTTATGCATAATTTTTTATCTTTAAGTAATAATTTCACTAAACTTTGTAGAATATTAAACTTTATTTTCAGGTTTTTTTCATAACATGAAACATCCCAGGGAGCCCAGAAAGGGTAAGTTACGTGTTGAAAAATTGAACCAAGCTTCAGATGCATGGTAAGATTAGTGTTATTACATTGTGTGAGACAAGAATTTTGGCCAATAGGAGGAAAAAATTTAGTTTCAAAAATTGTAAATGAATGTATAACGTGCTTTAAAAATAAACCCAGATCCTCTGAGCAGCTTTTGGGAAACTTGCCTGCAGAGAAAGTTAGCCCTAGTCCTCCATTTTATGACTGTAGAATCGACTTCTGTGGCCTTTTTTTGATTAAATACAAGGGTCAACACAAGGGCACATTAAAAAAAGTTTATGTCTCAATCTTTGTATGCTTTGCCGCTAAGGCTATTCATTTAGAGTTAGTAATAGATTTATCTACAGCCGCATTAATTGTAGCTCTAAAACACTTCTTTGAAAGACGAGGAAAATCTTGCTTATATTTGGATAATGCTTGTAACTTTGTTGGCACAAATATAGAAATAAAGAGGTTGCATAATCAAATGAGCTTTCCATTTTGCATTGATTGTAATAGTGTAATTGCATTTGTATATGTATATATTTTTTTACATATTTGACTTTTTTCATTAATTTCCTTATTTGTTTAAAAATGTGTATATTTCTTTGTCAATTATGTCAATGCTGAACTGTAATTTAAATGCAAATTTGAAATTGAAATTTCAGCACGGGCTGTATATGTTACGTCATTAGCTACACCTACGCACCTCAGCCCTCTAGCCGCATTTTTTGTATATAAGAGAAGAATAAAATGATTCATTTAGCATAATACAGTCCATCTAAACTGGAAATTTAAAACTTAAATTGCTCCTCAAGATTTCTGGTCACATGCATTTAATATAAAAAAGGTTGTTTTGCAATTTAAAGTCACCAACCACTGTCTAGCAGTATCAACAAGTAACGTATATTCAAAATAATCATGTCTTAAATTTAAAAGAAGTTACAGGACAAAAGACACTACATTAATACCACATTGCTTGTACCTTTCAGTAGCACAGTATCTATACCTATTTTTCATGCCTGTGATACTGGTGGGCTGAAATCTTATCACAACTTACATAAAAATCTACACATGAATCATGAGAAAAAAAAAAAAAGAAACAGATGTTTTAAACTGTATTAAAAACAGTAGCTCCTACATGATATATTGCTGCTGCATTTAATCAGATTTTACACAATTTTTTTTTTTTTTTTTTTTTGTTTTTGGGTTTAATAAAAATAATTTGCTATCCGTTCTATTTCCAAATATTGGGGAATTAAACAATTAAAGTATTTTAGTTATTAACTGTAAAATAAGTATATTGAGCAATGACCCTGAAATAAATTATTTTTCATTACCAATACAGAGAATGAATTTGAAGATAGCAATATTGTAAGGAGCATTGTCACCTGGAATACATACCTCAAATTTTGTCTGTCATAATATTTCTTATGCATTAACTGCAGAAATTTCTAAATCAATTAAAGTGGAAAAAATCATGGCACTAACACAAAAACCTCTGCAAATTGATATTTTCATGAAATTTGATCTTCTTCATTCTATTGTTAAATTAAAACTAATTACACATTTTAGAAACTTCTGCTCAATTTCTTCAATAAAGAATGTATGCTTTCATAAAAGTTACGGAACCTCAGATAGGTAAGAAAAAAGATCTATGTATGTACAATATAATGTGTCAAATCATTTGGATAACTCTAAATGGCAAAGCATGGAAAATATGTACCCTAAGAAGGCCTTAGGAAATGCCTTCTGGATCATGTTCATATTCCATACAAGGAAAAACATGAAAACACATGCAACAAATCTACTCAACAGGAGTTAATCCAGAACAAATTATCGATGTTTAGTGCTGATTGGTGGGCTAACTATAAAACATCAAATGGGAGTGATACTATCTGTATACATATTAATTAAAATTTAGGATTTTAATAATAATTTTACTCTTTCCTTATAATAATTTTCCCCATCTTTAAAGTTCTGAGAGAAATAATTAAGAAAATATAGCATCATGAATAAGAATATGCTTATTGATTTTATCAAAAACATGAAGTAGTATTTATACTGAATTTGGATTACTACTTGTTAAAAAACAAACATATAATGTTAAAAAATAAATACTTAGAAAATCATTTCAGTTCAAATCACAGCTTACAATCTATCTGGCCTAATTTTCACTAGTTTTTCATAAAAAATTTTGTTAGATAATTTTGGATTTTTAACTCTTTAACTGTCGAGTTATTTTGATGATTTGGGTACACAAATTGTCAAATTTTTTATTGGAAAAATCAAATGTTTAGTACAAAATAAAATATACTTAAGTAGTTAAAAATTGATATTTTGAAGTACATGGGTAAAATTTTTAAAGTTTTGTAGCCACTGCGTATTTGCTTGAGGTGGCTGCCACTCAACATGGCAGTTGTAAAGTTCGCTTCTAGTGGAGCATTATTTCTAAAATAAAGCAAATTATTTTCTAAAAAAAAAAAATAAAAAAAAATAAATAAAATAAGTGAATACCTATTAGTAGTTCAGTAATTCAGTCTTGTGTGGTACAACTGGAAACACTTTTCCAAGCACAAACCAACTCCTCAATCACTACACCAGAATCGTGTTTCCTTCCTTATCTTTTTCCCCCATTTTTATCCTTTTTCGAACAACACACTTTGCACTTGTAGGCTCACGTTTCACAGGAGTAGGAGGAATATGGGATATAAAATGTCGTTCAGTAAGACGGGCAGGGTTATCTATTGTAGGTGGTCTGCCAACATTCTTTTGTCCAGAAGCTGCATCATCATATTTATGTAAAAGCTCTTCTACAACTTGGATTCGAAATTCTAAAAATGTAATACGTTTCCCAACTACATTTTTATAGAGCAAATATGAGTTCCAGAGTACCTTGTCTAGTAAATGTAAAATATCTTTTTATAATATTTTTTCTGATCCTGATCACAGCGATCTACACCACCCATAGTTAGACTGTAGTCAGAAACAATCTTCGGCTTGAGTATATCTTCATTTTTAAAAAAAAATTTTTTTTTTATTTTTGAGGCTGACCATGGAAGTATCATGAATACTGCTCATCAAACACACATCCTTCATCTTCGGTTGAAGAATCTAAATCATCTATATAACGTTTCAAAGAACTGGACGCCATTTTACAACAAAAAGATCCCATGCACTTTGAACCAAAGAACTTATAAACTCTAACCTTTGAAATCTTCAGTAAAGTGCTGTTATCTATTGAATTTGAGCGCACATTAACTTTTTCCGAGATACAGTTGGGTTTGACAAAGAAATGAAGCCGAAATAAACGTCTCCCGATATATATTCGGGTATAACAATACGATGCACTCAAAAAAAAAAATTACCCCGAGTAATACTCGGGCGTGACATTTTCGAACACCAATGCTGTGCCCGAGATTATCTCGGGCATGACAGTTAAAAGGTTAAGCTCTTGTTCTATACAACCTCACATCTACTCAATATAGGATTTATAGCACATTTCAGCTACAGCTCTTTTTATTAGATAATTTTTATAGAGCTTTGAGGCATGTTTTAAGTTGCTGGCTTGTTGATCAAAATATTTATGCAAATAAAACAAATTCATTAGGTAGACTAAAGCAGGGTTTCTCGAACTACGGTATATTACACTAATTTTTTGTTAAAAATTTTTACACGAAACATATAAATGAAAATAAAATGATGCTCCTTTTGGAACCTATATTGATACATGATATTACATCTATTCTTGATTCTTATTTATGTGGTATGAAATTATAAAAGTCTGAGAATTCCCGGACTATAGTAAATAAGAATTTAATTCTTTATGATTATATCATGTATCTTTGTTACTAGAGCAAGTTAAACTAAAGAAGAAATTAAGCTATGCTTATATTAATTGGCACAACTAACAATGAACCAAGGAAAAAAAATATTTTGTAAGAATGCTTAAATTCATTCTATATGTTTAACAAACAATAGACATAATTTAAGAATTTGGAAAGCAAAGAATGTTTTAGGAAACAGTTTTATTGTTGCATATGATTGAAACATTATTTGTTCAAGCCTCAATGATAAAAATTTTGAAATACTAAATACACATGCATTCAAGAAACATTGTTAGTATGTATTATAGAGAATTTCATTAATTATTAAATCATTTTACACCAAAAGGAATGCATTCCATAAAAAATTATATAGCATAATAAAAATTATACTTACCTTTCCCATATAAAGTTTCGAAATATTTTTTATTCGAAGCTCAGGTATATGATAACTAAAAAAAAAAATTATATATGTTAGTTTAAAAAGAATTTATTTCTATGTAAATAAACAGGAAACAATGATTCGTAAAATACTTATTTAAAACAGTAGTACAGTAGTATATAAAATAATCAAAACAAAATTAAAACAGTATAAAATGAGTTTTAATAATCACACATAGAAAAGTATAACAAACCCTTTACCAAGATAAAAACAAGGAAATATAAGGAAAGAGTACAACAGACACAGGAATGTATGTAAGGTATTTGAGGGTAGGTTTTGCACAGTTTTAATTCCCTTCTCAAATAAGAAGCATAAAGTATAAAATGGAATTTTAACAAAATTCAAATTTTACCCAAATTTAATGAAAAAAAACTTCACTTAGAGATAAATAAGAAGACATTCCTTCTTTCACAGTTTTTAAAATGATAACATAAATAGAAATAATAAACAAATAGGTTGAGCAGAAGTAACTTGTGCTCATGTTTCAGTTTAAATTTTTATTATATACACTATTTAATTTCAGCCAGACAACGAGTCAAACACTGATATTTACTTGTTTCTGACAAAAACTCTAATTCTTACTGAGCTGCACCAGTTTATAGTCTTAGTATTTCTCTATTTTACTTTTGAAACTTTTAATACCAGAACAAAAAACTATATATTAAGTTTTTTCTAACAAGATCTCATATAACATAATATTTCTAAAATCCATTAAAAATATCAATAATTTCTATCACACGAGTACTTATTACTAAGAGTTACGCTAGAAGTATAAGTAAACTTGTTGCACTTGTAATATAATTTTTTATACTGAACTGAAGAAACTCGGTAAGAAATTTTTTACCCATAGCTTTTGCATAATGATATTTTGGGTACTTTTTAATTTTATTACTTGTATATGCTAATGGATGTAAAAACAATGATTTAAATGATTAACATGTTCACGCTGGTGTACGTCAACAGTGGATCACACTTGGCTGTCCCATTAGGTGGCCTGCACACCAGTGGGTCATGCCTGAGTCTCCCATTGGTTGGCATGCATCAGCGGTGAGTCATGCCCGAGTCTCCCATCATAATTTATTACTAGACTTCTTTTTCTTATTTGCTGACATTCTTAACCATGAACCTCTTCCTCTGAATCAGACTCAAAATCTTCTTTCTCCATGGCATATTCATCCACTTCATTGCCTAAAGGTTCACTTTCAATGCTTGCATTAACAAAATCCACACATGAAGAGGTAGATAGCATTCTTGATCTTGAAGTATTTCTAATGCTTCCATTTAGAGATTCATCATATGAACCACTTATTTCCATACCCATATTGTTTGTTATTTGTATCGGGAAAAACTAAAAAAGAAAAAAATGCTAGCCACCTTTCTATTTACACTTACTCGGAGAAATGTGTGGTCAGGATGAAAAAATAGCACAAGTTAACAACATGCAAAGCAAGCACACACACTTTACACGCTTTGTTACTAGGCAATAGTTGCACATACAATGTACGTCCAGAAAGTAAGTTCCGTTTGGTAATAAAAGTAAATTGTATACAGCTACAGAAAAGTTATTTATTGCACAAAATTCAACAACTCTTAAACTACTTTTCAACATAACTGCCAAAATATTGCAGGCATTTGTCATAGCGTGGCACAAGTTTTTGTATACCTTCTTCAGAGAAATTTGCCGCCTGTGTCTTCAACCAGTTGGAAACAATTTCTTTCAGCTCGTCGTCATTGTTCAAGTGTTGACCGCCAAGGAAAGACTTAAGATGAAACAACAAATGAAAGTCGCTAGGAGCGAGGTCAGGACTGTACAGAGGATGGTCAAACACGTCCCAGCCAAATCCCTGTAGGAGGTTTTTCGTCACATTTGCAGTGTGTGGTCGTGCGTTGTCGTGAAGAAAAACAACACTTTTTGACAGCAATCCTCGGCGCTTATTCTGTATTGCGCGGCGCAATTTCCGAAGTGTCTCGCAATAAGCATCTGCTCTGATTGTTTGACCACGTGGTAAGAAATCAATGAGTAAGATGCCTTTCCAGTCCCAGAACACTGTGTACATCATTTTTCGAGGTGTCAAGATTTGCTTCGGCTTAACCTTTGCTGGGGATGAAGTGTGCCTCCATTCCATTGATTGCCACTTACTTTCAGGGGTGTCCTAAGAATCTCCTGTGACTATCTGTGTCAGAAATTCTTCACCGCTTTCAGCATAACGGGTCAAAAACTGAAGTGCACTACCCATCCGTTTTGTTTTGTGTTGCTCAGTAAGAATCTTTGGTACCCAACGTGAGCAAAGTTTACGAAATTTCAGTTTTTCGGTAACAATTTCATGCATTAGTGATCGTGAAATTTGGGGAAATTCCATAGCTACAGCACTAATTGTAAACCTTCGGTTTTCATGGATCTTGTCATCAATCACGTGAACCAGTTCTTCTGTAACCAAAGATGGACGTCCACTTCGTTCTTCATCGTGCACATCACTACGTCCGTCATTGAACTTTCGGACCCATCTTCTCACCATTGAATCACTCATCGCTTTTGGTCTGTAAACATTGCAAATTTGCCGATAAATTTCACTAGGTTTCACTTTCCTCGCATTCAGAAAACGAATCACAGATCTGATTACACAAGCGGCGGGATTTTCAATCAACACCGACATTGTAAACAAGCACAACAAAGCGTACGTGACTGACAGCGATCTCCAAATGGCACGCGTTTCTTCTCCTTGATACAGAGCATCTACTGCGCATGTGCGGAACTGCGATCGCAGAGCTGCAGCGGAGATAAATTGAAATGGAACTTTCTGGATGTGCCTCGTATAATGTCTGAATGAGCAATAGTACTATGCCACCAGATGAAGTGAAGTTTGAATTCAAGAGCTGTCCTGCACCAAAAAAATGAATATTGGCGCCGGCATGAACGTGTTAAACTATTAACAAATTATTAACACTTAAATTACCATAATTTAAATTATGAAAGCTAAACATTTCATTTTAACTTACATGATAATATGATTTAAAAGTATCTCATTTAATTAAGAATTCAAGCAGAAACCTAAACTTTTCAAAATAGCTTTTCGAGAAATATTGGAATAAATGAGCTCAAGAGGCTGAATTTCAGAAATCTGCAAAGTTTTGGCTAATATTTTGAAAAAATATATTTAATGAAAATTTTGATTACTGAATTATTAATGCATTTTACGTTTCAGCTACTATTACCACCATATTAGAACATGGTGCTTAATGGCTTCAGTTGCAACCAGTGAAATTTTACTCTGTTTTAAGTAGCAATTTTAAATTCCAGTTAGGGAGTGAGTAGAGTTAGATTCTGAATAAATATACCAAGGAAGTGTGTCATTATTCAGAGCAATTCTGTTATGCTCAGCAATTCAACACTTAAAGATTAATGATGAAGTTTGACTCCAGTAGTTAAAAATACCTATATTTTAGCTGTAAAGCAAAAGATTAAGAAATTTTCACAAATAATCATTAGATCAGTCTAAGACCTGTCTCCCATAATTAAATTAAATAAAAATATTATTTCTAAGGATCTCTAAAAAAAAAAGTGTCGACATCACTGACTAGAAACACCATTAGAATAAGTGGAAATGTTTGAATACAGAACAACTTTTCACAAATTGTTTATAATAAAAATACTAAATCAGAATTTTATATGTTATAGTATCTATTACATTTCACTAAACATGTCTAATTTTTGCATAATTCTTTTACATGAAAAGGAAATCAAAACAGAATTATTATTAAAATTATTAAATTATTATTACTTAAAATTATTAAAAGTAAATTTTAATGTCTAATTTTTAATAAGGTTAAAATATCAGTAATAATTAAATAATTTTCTTACAAAGCTGCCAGCTGTATTCTGAATCTTATAGAAGAAGGATTGTATTCTGGCTTGATCAAGTTATGCTCACATACCTAAAAAATGGCCATATAAAATATATATAAATATAGACATAGTTACAATTCCTAATCATAAAAACACTAAAAAGATACAAACATTACACAAACACATTTTAAATTATTAAAAAAAAAATCAAAAGCTTATCCATTACCTTGCAACGCTGTGAGCGCTTGATATGCAAATATTTATTTTGTGGATAAAGTTCCGATATACAACTGGGTTGAAACTGTGGCTGGAACAATCTCTGTCTTAATGTGCAAACTAAATATGATAAAAAAAAATTTACAAATTTCAAAGAAAAAAAAATTAAATAATAACAAAAAATGTTCAATAGAATTATAAATTGATTACATACAGACATTTAGTGTGTAGCTAAAAATAATTTGGAAGTGCACCTAATGACAAAATTTAAATGTTTAAAGAGTGATTTCACATAGACTTAAATATAACTCCCCAACCAGAAAAGTTATAAATTCTGGTACTTCTTTCTCAAAGCAATCCTTCGGTTAGTTGCCAAAATGAATGAACTTAAATCACCCAATCTGAAATGTGCAAATTTCAGATGCTGCCAGAAGTTTATGAAATGGCCACTAAGACGTATCTAAATTCTTCTATATTACATAACTTATTTTTAATTACATAACTTTTTGGGGGTAATTTCTAACCACAGTCACTTTTTACAAAAAATAATTTATAATTTTCTAAAAATTTTATTAATTTGCTCTTTTCTAATAAAAGGTAGTTCAAAATAGCAATTTACATATGGTTATTAAAATTCATGTTTATGAAAGTTAGTAAAATTTTTCTAAATAAATATTTAATCATTTGATAATTAAGGAGGAAAATTCAGAAGTCACTCAGTTGTGCACAACCTAATTGTAAATGGAAATAAAGAATATATCATCATAGATATTTGCATACAAAATTGCACATTAAAATAATTACTGTTATACTTTTTGATAAGTTTAATGGCTCTGCTAGATAACTTTCAGGCAAAGGCTCAACTTCTGATGTTGCTTCAGGTGTAGACAATTGTTCTGATACTTCAGGTTCTATTTTGCTGAAATTACATAAAGTTATTTCATAAACATTAACAAAAACAAACAGGCTCACAAAAAAGAAACATTATAATAGCATTTTTACATACTTTAAGCTTGACGGAAGACCAGCCAATCTGCGCACAACTTTACCAGATATGCCATATTTCTCCTATGAGGTATTAATAACATTAAGTATCTTACAAACAAATTCTATTTAACAAAAGATTTTATTCAAGTGTTTAAGCAAATAAAAAACATCTAACTCTGAGGCTTAGTAAAAAAATTCCATCTATGGAAGTTGTAATTGACATTATAAACATCTGCTTTTCAGCTTAATTGAAATTAATTTTACTTTCTTTACTATTACTTTATTTAACTACACTATACATATAAGAGAAAACGTAATTTGAAGCAAAGAAAATGAATATACAGCAAAATTAATTACAGATAAAAAAATATAAAATATTTTTATTTTTTGGTTAAAAAATACACAAGAAATGGACATGTGAAAAAATTATCAGGGACTGGATTAACAAAATACAAATGCATGCATGTACCTATATGTGTGTGTACACACACGTATACATACATATATACATACAATCATACATACCTACATTTCTAAATCTGCTCCCGATAACATAAGAATCATAAAAGTCTTTAAAAATTAGAAAGAAAGAGAGAGAGAGACAGGTGTGGAAAAGTAAATAATAAAAACATAAGGTTGTATGCCAAATTATTACACGGAGGTTATTATGAATTTTATTTGTGTACAAAATTCCAATGTGTAGAGTTCACTTTCTTTACAACTGACAGAAGATTAAAAATGATGATTAAATAGCAGTAGATAATACACTGACTGCCAATAAGTATTTGGAAACCTATGCAAATGACGATATCTGCAGTCCCAAGCTACGCCATGAACTCCGTCGGTATATATCTTGTAGGAAACAGCATCGGCTTTAGCCGCATGCAAGATGCCTCACAATTCGGAGCTCTCTGATTTCGAGAAAGGTATAATTAGCGGGTATCACAAATGTGGCCAATCCTTAAGGGACATATCTAGCGATCTGAAGTACCCAATATCGACAGTGGCCTATGTGATTAAGAAGTGGAAGGTGAGGGGTGATTGTCGGAATGCGGTCGGGGACACTTAGCCGACATGGACACTTAGCCGACAGGACATTTAGCCGACAGAACATTTAACCGACACGGACACTTAGCCGACACGCCATTTAGCCGACACAGACACTTAACCGACAGGTCATTTAGCTGACACAGACAGTTAGCCGACAAGACACTTAGCCGACAAAGACACTTAGCCGACATGGACAGTTAGCCGACAGGACATTTTGCTGAAACAGACAGTTAGCCATCAAGACATATAGCTACGGGACACTTAACTGTCAACACATTTAATCCACAGGACACAAAGCCGACAGTAACGTTTAGCTGACACGTACCCAATAATTATTCAAACTTACTATCAATTACAAAATTTTTCGACTTCTCCATAAGTTCAATATTTAAGTTATTTTTCACTATCAGTAAAATTCCTTTTTCGATTCTTAAAGATCTCATATATACTTTTAATTATTCCTTGCCCATATCCGGAGGAGTATGCAACACGTATAATTTTCAAGAAAAAGCTGGTGATAGCACCTCATTTCACAAATTAGAATTTTTAGATATTTTTATTTTTGAAACTGAGATTGATTTTTAAAAATTTAGCATGTTTATCAAGCATAATTGATGTTCTAAATAATTATAAAGCTGTTGTTTGTTTTGTTGTTTGACTTCTGAATTGGTAATTATAAAGCTATTGCATGCTTTCAGGTCTGGATATTTTTGTAGCTTTTCCTATGCTGTAAAGGAAATTTGTATCTCCTTCTTTTAAAAGTAATATTTTAAATCTGAACTAATAGAAAAATTCAAGCAAAAAATTTTCTCTTACAATTTTTATGCTTTTATTGGTATAAATAAGTTAAAAATACTATAATTAAAAAAGGGATTTTTGAAAGTTTTTGCTTAAAATTCTTATTTGTACTGCTTTTTTAAAATTATATCTGAATATTAAAGCATAATATTCTACAAAGAAGTTTTATTTCAATAATATTTCATAATACATTATAGTGACTAATACTTTTAACACTTTAATAATTTTTATGCATTTATTATAAAGTTAAAAATTGTATTTGACTGTAATAATTAATTGTGCTAGTATTTTATAGTGATTATTTTTTTAAATTTATGTCTAGTTTTGCATAAGTTTTCTTATTTATTGTTAATTTATTTTATCAGCCCAAAGAGGCGGCAGCTCAGAAAAGCTATTAGTTTCAAAACGGCATTTTGCTTTGTTTCACTATAAATGTCCATTTCACTTTGCAAACTGTTGCCACCAAATATTATCGCCCTGTATTATATTTAAAGAAATTAAATAATGAAGAATCTGCATGAATGCATGTATGTTTCTTTCGCACTGTATTAAAAACAACAGACTTTAGAACCATAAAATTTTGAATAACGTAATCCTCCACCCGAACATGGGCACCTTCAAGGCCTAATTTCGAATTCATTTTAATTCATTTCATATTTTGTAACTTTAATGAAGTTTTGATTAACAAACTCAACGAGTTCAAAGCAAGCAATGGCAACCCTGTACAGAAAATAACATTTTTATCTCCAATGCGGAAATTCTAAAGATATGTCATTTTCAAACATTTTGTGATATTGTTCTTGAATTGAATTTCATGTGGTTTACTTGCGAAGAACACGATGTTTAATAAATAAAAGTAACACACAAAACATTACAAAAACGCTCCTTTGGGCGTAATATAAAATTATATTGCTGAGTGCTTCCAGAGTTTATCTTTTTTTCCTCATTACACTCAAAAACGTTTATGCTCCGAATTTTATAAATTGCTAAAATAAATAATCATCTTGTAATGTTAATAATTAATGATCATATAATCAAATAAATGATCGTCTTGTTATGTTATAATAATTTTGAAAACTACTGCCTAAAAATGCTCATAAAATCAAAGAAAATTATCAGATCTTGTTTAATTGTACCTTATTTGTTGCAAAGCATCATATGCTATGAGTATTATTTAATTTTACTTTATTTGTACACAAAAATAAGTTCATAAGTTTTGCGTTTAGAATTTTTACCGTTTTACTAAAGTAAAGAAATTATACAAGAATTACGATTGAAAAAAATACGCAAAATGCAATGCAATAAAAATTATTGTTATACTTGAATTATACTTTTTATGGAAACATATAGTGGTGAGGGTTAGTTTAGCAAATATATTTTATTTTGTTATTAAAAACAATTTAAAAAAAGCGAATTTTTAAGACAAGCAAAGGTATAAATTATTTGTGACCTCTATAATTTGCAGTTCATGCCACCATTCTTGAGATAAAAATTCTGTAACATTTTATTAACCACACCTCTTGCTTAAAATACTTACTTAGGTGAATGCTTATAGCCCTAAAATAGTGCATAATGTTTAATTTAGAAGTAAAATATTATTCAAGGTTTTGTTTTATTCATTTTCGAGAAATTTCAGCGCTTTTTCAATTTGGCCAATGTACACCAAACAGCACGATACATATCAAACAATGATAAATTAACACAATAATTAATAGCACATATGACATCTTTAAGAATCGAAAAATGAATTTTACTGATAGGTGAAAAAATAACTTATATATTGAACTTGTAGAGTAGTCGAGAAATTTTGTAATTCATAGTTTAAATAATTTTTGGGTACGTGTCAGTTAAACGTCACTGTCGGCTTAGTAACCTGTTGACTAAATGTTTTGACAGGTAAGTGTCCCGTAGCTCTAAATGTCCTGACAGCTAACTGTCCGTGTCGGCCAAATGTCCTGTCGGCTAACTGTCCGTGTCTGCTAAATGTCCTGTCGGCTAAGTGTCCTTGTCCGTTAAATGTCCTGTCGGCTAACTGCCTGTGTCGGCTAACTGACCGTGTCGGCTAAGTGTCCGTGTCAGATAAATGACCTGTTGGCTAAATGTCCTGTAGGCTAAGTATCCGTGTCGGCTAAGTGTCCCATCGGCTAATTGTTACGGACCTGTTGGAATGTGCCCAGAGTTGGCAGACCAACGGAACTGGGGGATAGAGACCTACGAGTGCTGTTCAGAGAAATTCGGAAGAATCGCACCCAACCGATAGCCCTCATCCACGAGGAGTTTCAACAGGCATCCAGGAGTATTGTTTCACTGAATACCATCTGTAAGGAAGCACATCTGCTTGGTTTTCATGGTCGTGCTGCTGCCCATAAGCCTTTGATCACATAGTCCAACCGCGCTGCTCGGTTAACGTGGTGCAAAGCACATCGAAATTGGACTGTAGATCAGTGGAAACGGGTTCTTTGGAGTGACGAGGTCTGGGTCTGGTGTCTACCTGGAGAACGTCTCCTGCGAGAATGCATTGTGCCAACAGTCAAGTTTGGCGAAGATGGAATTATGGTCTGGGGGTGTTTCTCCTGGTATGGGCTGGGACCCTTGGTCCCCATTCATGGTAAGCTCAACTCCGATACCTACTGCACTATTTTGGATGACAATGGGCTTCCTACATTGTGGCAGTTTTATGGGTTGGACCCCTGTTCCTTTCAGGACGACAATGCCAATTGTCATGTTTCGACGTTAACCAAGGCTTGGTATGGTGCCAATGGAGTTCATCGAATGGACTGGCCTGCCCACAGTCCAGACCTGAACCCTATTGAGAACCTCTGGGACGAGTTGCATTGCTGAATTCAGAGGTGCACTACCCTTGCAAAATCGGAAATCAAAATCAAAGGAACTTCTATGTCTTCTCCAAGCCGAGTGGCAGAAAATACCACTAGCTGTCATACAAAGACTTCTGGAAAGTATGCCCCGGAGGGTCCACGCTGTAAATACCTCTCGTGGAGGCTCTACCAACTATTGATTTTGAATAAAGTTAGTTTTTCTTTTCTATCACAGGTGTCCAAATACTTATTGGTAGTCAGTGTATTTGGCAGCAATGGAATCATTGTTGTTTTTGATTTTATGATTTAGTTTATTTCGACAATGTGAGAAGAAGTATTTATTCTAAAATTTTTTATTATGATTTCATAAATAACTCTGAGTGTTCAGGTATTTTGAAAATTAATAAAATTATCAAA